AACAAGGTCGTCTGCAAACAGCAACCTTCTCGACTTCACATCTCCTACACCGATACCCTCATCGCCTTGGAAGCTCCTGACTATTCTATCCGTGTACAACACAAACAGGATATGGGACAGGACTCAGCCTTGGCGGAGACCAGTGCGATTTTTGAATGGTTTCGACTTAACGCCATTAACTCTGCCACAGCACCTGCTATCAGAATACAGTGATTGGATGGCCCTTAGCAACTTGCCATCAGTCTCTACGTACGAAGACATGTCCATAGACAGTTGCGTGGGACCCGGACATACGCTTTCTCTAGGTCCACAAAACACATGTACACCGGCGGACGTACTCCCACGGCTTCTCAACAGCTCTGGCGCGGAGCAAATATATGCTCAGAGGTGCTTTGACCGGGCCGGATGCCACACTGCTCTTCTTGTATTTTGGTGTCAGTTGTTAGCTTTCTTCACTTTGCAAAGAAGCCTTCAGAGATCTTGTATCTTTTCCCGACGATATTCAGAAAATCACACTTTCAGACGATAAACAAAGAATATTTCGTGAAAATATCTTCGCTTAAAATTCAAACGGAATCTTTTTTTAATAAACGTAAACAATACCTTCAGAAGAATGCGCTGATCTTCCTTTTTCAAAGTCGAGAATCCTGGCAGATGCTTCGTAAACTCGAAAATCAACTGCACATTCAGAATGATCAGCTCTGCGAGGTGTTGAAAATTGCTGTTTGATTTCGCATTTGATATGTTTCTGAGAGTCTGAAAAATACTTTCTTCAGAAAGGTGAAAAGTTACCAAATTAATTTCGAAAAGAATCTCAAAATAACCCCACGGGCTTGAATGATCAAAAATGGAATAAATTAGTAATGCGATTTGGGTGCGACAATTAATGCCAAATGCATGAAGGAAATATGGTGGAATCAAAGTTACAGTAACAGTTAAAATAAGGTGAGGTTCAAAAACGTACCATTGCATGAAATGTATCTTGAGAATATGATATTAAGATCACAGAAAATGTAATAGTTTGAAAGGCAGTAAAGGTTAAAAACCAACAGTTTCTCTCTTCCTAAGAAAGGGAATCATATTGGAACAGAAAAACGGAATGAAAAACAAACTGAAGGTCTCCATTTTAAAACTCACTCGTTGAGTAGAGGAACATGAAAAGAATGAAGTTAGTTTAATGATAGGTTATGATTTACGCTGTGGTTATAAAAAACTTGCTCTTCAACATGTTAAAAATTCTGAATTCCTTTTTTGCCATAAAAGATTCTCTACCGTCAGCTTGCATAGGTCCTCGTCAGAAGGTAGTTCAAATTGTTCTTGGAATGTCAACAGTCGGTGAACCAGTTCACGTTGTTCTGGACTAAGAGCTGGCCCCGAAGCACTAGAGCTGGCAGCGTCGCTGGAGGAAACCTAGAAAACAGCGCATCTTGAACATCACTACGGAACTTCTGTAAAAACTCTGCGAAGGAGATCGGCCGAACGTCAGTCGAAACAACCATCAACAAGACCATCCTAATCTTGCTCAGTCTGATTGTTGATTTTTACCTTAGCTTCTTCCTGGATTCGAAAAATCGAATGTGTTTTGCACTTGGATTCGCGCTTCATGCGACATTGTTCTTCAGGAATCACAACTAGAAGAAACTCAGTTAGAGCGAGTCAAATTTAGGTATGAGCTAAGGTTACGCTCAGGTCTCATGCCGACGTCGATGCATTTGCTCAAGCGGCAAGCCTGACACTTGCGGCGCATGTACATGTCGATATCACAGTGACCCCCGTATTTACAGTAGTACACCGCTTTGCGGGTGATACTGCGGCGGAAAAATCCTGCAACATTAGTTTAGTGCAAAATGCAACCCCATGATGCCACATACTGCACCTTTACATCCTTCGCAAGTTAGGGCGTTGTAATGGTATCCAGACGCTTTGTCCCCGCAAACTAAACAGAGCTCTTCTGACGTTGATCCGCAGATGCTATTCGTTCTGGAAGGGGCGGAACGTTTTTTCTGCTTTCCCTCACCACCAACGTCCAGTTGATTCTGAGGGTATAGCGCAGTGTACTGAGCGCCCTGATTTGCAGGCATGGTCTGAATTTGCGGCAACCATTGATCTGAAAAATGAATGTTAAAGTATGCGAGTTGAAGCATTGAGCTAAGGGGGTATCATACATTCCTTGACACAATCGATCGGTGATTATTACTGATCCATTTATGCAAAACCTGCTTAAAATAATCTTAGTAAACTATAGTATAGAGAGAAATTGATAATTTTTTTTCTTGTAGGGTAAATGAGCTTCACGAAAGAAGTGAGAGGAATGCGGACAATGGTTCATAACTTAGCTTTCTACCAATCCCGATAAATATTCTCGAGTATCCCAATAGGGTGCTATTCTTTCAGTAGCCGCTGTGAAAACTTCTAGTGCTTCGCCCCCTATGCAGTAAAAGAAGAACAGAGGCTCAAATTTATTTCCAAAACATTTACTGATTATGAATCGCAAACAAATGAGAATTACAAGATGATTATTTAGCGATTCAGTAATTAGAACCACGGGTAATCAGTTAATAGCTCTATGTACTGCGAACTTGAATGAACTACTTATCAAGATTTGTGCAGTTTTCTTAAAGCATATAAACGACGGAAAGAACACGTTCTGACAGTTGGACATAAACACTGAACCATTTGTTTGCTTAACGTTCTTCTGATTCCAGAGAGGCAAGCATATTTCTTCATGTCCTCAATTATAAAATCGAAGAAGATAGTCATTTTTATGAAATTTTCACTTCACAATATCCGACATTTTTGCCCTTTATCAGACTCCATGACTTAGACACAACTCCGTCGTTATTGGGCAATAGTCTGAATGAGAAAGGATGAGGGTAAGGGGGTCGTGGCTAAGTTCCCGTAAAACTTTGCCACGTGTCCGTCATGGTATTACACCAATGTAGACACGGTCCGTCGCCTGGATTATCTAGAACCGCATAGGCCTTTGGGGAACTGAAGTTGCCGATCAGAACCTGATTCACGTATCTGACAGCTGCCAGCATAGCAGTACAACACAGCTGTCGAGGAAGAACAAGAAGGTTGCTAAAGTTCCGGTCAGCAACCGAATTGCAACCCGTTCTGAACAAAGGAGGCAGGCAGATTAAATTCTGCGGGGACGAAATCGACGGTGAACGCCGATAGTCAAAAAGCGCCATATCTCCTCCCTCGGAAGAAAAGAACAGAGCTGGCTGATGAGACCGCATAGTACCGACTGGACATAGTTGAACTTTCGTCAACGAAGCGCTAGGATCATGCAATGCTGAACTTCTATAGGCGCAAGTTATTCTACTCAGGTGTCAGCAGTGTCAACTCAACAACCCGCTCATTGAAGTTCGTTTAGGGGTTCCGGCGGGATCCATAATGGCTGACCAAGTTATTAAATACAAAAGTGACATTCCTCCCACCGAAGTTAAACGGTTACAGCCTTGACCTTGTTACAGGTCTATGCGTCCAATTTGAAAGGAAAATATGAGTCGTTCTTTCTAAAGTGCTGAATACGGAGTCTTTCATACTCATTTCAGTACTCGTTTCACTGCCTCTATGCTAATGAAAATTGTTATGCTGTAGGACATTGACATTTTCACAAGGTATAGCGTTTCTTGAAGAAAAATGCTCACAGCTAAACAGATTCGCCAAACCTGTAAACGACGTACTGTCAACATGAATAAACTGACCAAAATGAAGCAAGGTGGGATAACGAGCTCATGAAATTGGCCTCATCAATCTCTGATCTTGTCTGTCACATGCGGTGCCTACCATCGCTAATGATTAAGCAAGCAAGGTTCCTATCCAATCAGCGTTTGTAGCATGAGATTAATCAGTAAATAAATTCTACAACAATTTAAAAGTCAAATTTGCTTTGAAAAGCAAAATTGACCGGAACTTGGACTGGTCAGGGCAGGAGAAATAGGGTCTGCTGGATGATTCATTTGGGATGCATAGTCGGCAGACGAGGATTGCTCAGTTTATACTGCGTCAGACTCACAGCAAACGATCGTGAATTAAAGCTCCGGAAGAGAAACTCGGTTTTCATCGTTCCAAGGTAAATAAGACAATGCTCGCTTTTAATCGGAAAGGAAGCGTGAGGCTATGCGCTATACTTATCACATGGCATCATCGACAACCGTGCTAAAATGAGGCACTCCTGATCGATAACATGCAGATGAAACCAGCGCCGCATCGTGAGCTCCATTAAGGGACAAGTGCTCGAAAGAACGTTCTTGATGGGGACTTATGGGAAACCGACAGAAAGACGTTTCAGGCAATGAAAATCGATTCAGGCAACGTTTAAGTGATTAAATTTCAATTTGAATTAAATGTGAAGGTTGAAGCTGCTACCACAAATGCGAGAAGAACAACAAACTATTGTGACTTAAGTAAACAATGGCATGCAAGAGTGATAAATACTCAACTCTGTCTTCACAAACTGCCACTGTAGCTGTGAAGACCTCCCATAGATTCTGATCGGTCGGTTCTGATTGGGAGGCTGATAGATTTCCTCATGCCGTTACATTGGATTTGTTACAGAGAGTAATACAAACACGAATGGAAGGGTGTGGTTCCTTGCAATGCAGATTTTATTATGCCACGTAGTCATGACCTTCAGAAGGAACAGTTATGTAACGTAGCAAGATAGTTCAGAAGCAAGGTGCATATTAATAGAAAACTTTTTACCCAAAAAGAAAGCCTGACCAAGCACTATTCTACGACCTATCTGGCGTCTAAATCGAATTGATCAATTCTGTAAGTTTCTTTTGAATAAAGATAATGATTGAATTATGAAATATTCACTGAAAATATTACTGAAAACTTAGATAATGCAAAGTTATTATCAGACGTTTGATTCGATATTCTGAGCTTCGTCTGCCTTTGAAATTAGCATGAGATAGAACTCTTTTCATAACATATAAAAATATTAACCATATGTTACGATTCGAAAGAAGATTCACAAAATCCTAAGCGACAGCTACAGTCGACTTTGGTCGTACCTCACAATTTTTGTGTGCGGCAAATTCCTCTCGATAATGTTTATCAGTTGCACGTTAACTAGATCTCCTGTCAACGTGCAAACTTGACTTTAACCTTGACAAACCGTTATCTATTTACTCGTCACATTAGGACCGTCCAAACCGGACCGTATTACGTCAAGGTCAGCTATGGCTGACCTTCAACGATGTTTTCCCAAACTTAGTCACGGTAGGTCTGGTCCATCAAGACCAACATCCCGTCCATTTAGAGTTGATCTAAGGCGGTAAACATTTGCCGGAAATCGACCTTCTCAGAGTTTGACCTCTTCGAAGACAGAATGCGATAAAGGTCAGAAAAATTTCCATTTCGTACGTCATGTATGACGTCCAGCCATGTTTGTGCACAGGAAGTTCAACAAAGACGAGATTTCACACGAAGCGGGCTGCCTTGTATTATGTAACGCAATTTTAAATGTTAAAGCAAAAATATGGAAAAAAAATTCTCCATAAGCAAACTTATAAACGAATGAACTCGGCATGACCAAGATACCCTTGATAGTGAAATACAGTGCAACGGCAGAACTCGAAATTGTCGAATTAAACCGTTTATACAAACGCAGCTTGATTCAGATGTAGCGTGGTAAACTGTTCAACGTTTCAGATCGGTCACGGTCCTTCATCAGAGGTCATAGTATACGCACAACGTTATCAAGGAACAATTATGCGAATAAATTTTTAAAATGTGTTTGAAAGTTTCAGATTGAAAAGCTTGTTCACATCACTGCATCTTTTAGAGAGGACTCGTTGACCGTGTCAAGTGTTAAGACGTCCATCGGAGGGTACGGTATCATTTTCAGTACACTGAAGACCTCCCTGGTCCATGGCACCGGAAAACAGGCATACAACTTAATACCCAGTGGGCGATACTGTCTGATCTGACGTTGAAGTCCCATGCAATGTAAGGGTACAAACTGTAGAAGGAAGAGCGACCGAGAATGATAGTGGCAAGCGTTGGGCTTGATCGACATTTGTGGAGATCAGCGATCGATAACGTTACTAGAAACTACACGTTATAAATGCTACCAGGCTGTAGATATAAGTCCAAAAAGGAAAGAAAACCATGGGACTGCTTTTTGATGACACGGAGACGTGCATTACAATAGGCTACATGAAAAGAAGGGTGCCACAAATGGAGCTCAACCGTGAAAATGCAAATGAGACGACACGCCATGCTTGCAAACTCTCTTTTTTCCCTTTCATTTCATTGTACGTTGATAATCGTTGTAAGAACATTGATGTGATCCCTGATGGTGGTGTGAATATGATCTAAAACGTAGAACAAATTGTCGATAGTTTAGCAACGCGAGGAAAATCCGCACATTTGTCATTATGCTGATTAAGAGTTACATTCTGCACAAACAACCCATATATTTCTCTAAATAAAAAAGAATGTCAAATTAACAAGAATGGAAATTAATCAGCCAACACAGGAACGTCGTCTACCTCTAAAATGAATAGCAGGCGTATCCTCAAAAACATCCTGTATTTGAGGAACTATGTCACGAATCAAAGAATCAAATAAGCCAAGAACAGACAAGAAATGGAACGGTATTATTAATTGTTATATGAAACTGGCCCTAGTTCATACAGATACATAAAACAAATGGTATTGAAAGGACACATAGCTGTATACCCCAATTTATGAATGCTCTCTTGGCTTCATATCATCTCTGTAATGGGAATTATGTTTTCCCTCCAGTTTTGTCTATCACTTCATTTTATTTGTTTAGCCTCATCCTAACTTTGAAGACGGAGTGTCGAGTCCTGCAAACCTGCATCCGCTCCATCATCCTTTATAGATATAACGGTTGGACCCATA